GTCGTCGTCGTCGTACTAGTACTAGTACTAGTAGTAGTAGTAGTAGTAGTAGTAGAAGAAGAAGAAGAGGTAGTAGTAGTGGTAGTGTTCTAGTACCTAGTACTAGTTCTTCTAAGGCCATGGGAAAGTGATTGGGCCTTCATACTGGTTCATACACATTGTGAACATAACGCACCATTTTGCCCGAAGCCAGCTGTTTGTTTCTCAAACCCTACAACTACAACTCATGCCGAAGCTCTACATCGGTCCTTAACCTTTAGATTCTACAGAAAACCTTAATTCTCAGGTGACCTCCCTGCTCACAAGCATGTCGGCGAATGGGGAACTTCCACCAATCCCCAGCCCGACGTATGGCAAGATCCTGTCTTGGGCTGACAAGGCTCCTGATGCAGGTTGAGCTGTGCATTCCTGTTGGCTTTCACCTTTACTTCGCGACCACTTACGTAACTAAAGCTGCAAGCTACCGAGGCCACACAGCCAGGATTTCGTGTTCCCAAATCTCAATCATGCTGGAAGATTCACGTTGTTGATGGAGAGCTGAGAAATTTAGGCCAAAGGTCCCGTGATGTCGTAGAGTAGCTATGGAACATGTCCTCGACGCATCGACAGAGGGATTACACATACAGTCACACACAGTCACCAAGCCATTCCCGGCCCACAATGATCTCCGAGGAGACAGATTTCTGAGGATCCTGCAGCCTGAAGACCCTAAGCTCCTCTCTCTGGCCTCGGAAGTTTCCGGGATCTTCGGTATCACAGCCCTCCACATAGGGCTGGATGAGTATGGTGTAGGCGAAGGGGTAGTAGTATACCATGAACCTCGTGCGCTGGACTATGACAGAACGATGCCGCGCGTTGCGGCAAACACTACGTCGCAGTAAGGCATCCCCCCGGTGATATATTATACCTTCATATGTGTCATTCGATGTCACAAGCCCGAGGGGGGATCGTCTGGATATCGATGTTGAGCCCCCGCATGCGTTCATGCGTGGGAGCTTGATGATTTTCTTCGTCACACATAGGTCGAAGGGCCAACATCGCCACATTGTTGGGCATGGAGACCTTCCCGTACACGTTGAACGACATTGCACTAGCACGAGAGGCTTCAACCTAACTTTTGATCTTGTTACAGCTGCATACGTAACAGTGGCAGTCAAAGCAGTTGCATTCATGCATGTCAGCATTCACATGTCTGAATGCTGCTTCTTTGCTAGACATATATATATATACACACATACATGACATATGTATGACATAAACTCATAAACCAATAAACGTATAGTGTAAGAGTTGTATTAGATTCATTTCCACCATATGATTCAGTATAACTACTGAATCGCACTGAATTATGCTGAAGCCCGGCCCGGATCAGAGATCAGAGATGGCGCGAAAAAGCTTTCCACGGCATCTCTGATCTCTGATGCGGGCCGAATTAGACTGCAACTCGGATCGAGATCAGAGATGCCACGAACAAATTTTCCACGGCATCTCTGATCTCTGATCCGGGCCGGGTTTCAGTATAAATACTGATGTATACTGAATTATACTGGGCATGATCCGGTATACACGGTCCCTTATACATTAATCCATGTGTGCGTGTGTGTGCATTCGTACAGACATGCGGTCTCGTGTGGTGCCATGCATGTATACAGACAGGCTTGGAGGTAGGTTTTAGGGGGGGTGCCATATAAGATATGCATATGTGCAGACATATACATCTGCACATCCATGCGTACACTGCAAGGGCGTTCGTGACTGACGTAAAAAGGCGGCTGTTTCGCATGTAAACCCCAAAAGCTGAAACCGAAAACTCTTAATTTTGAAAGCCGACAAGTGACCCATCAGGCCTACAACGGCATCCGCGAGGTGTTGGCCGAGGGCAGTCGCGAGGGTAATGTCGGCTTCAGGATTGGATATGTTGGTTTTATTAGGTTTAGGATTTTAGTGCCGAGTGGCACTATGCCTTTGCTGTCTTTCTCTCTCGCACTCTGGAACAAGCACTCGCGGCGAAAACCACACGGACGGAAGGTGCAGGCAGCAGTGTGCGTCCAGCCGCCGTATGTGTATGTGCAGATGATGGCCATTCTTGTCAATGTTCCCACCTCAGCTTCGACCAGTTTCGCGCAGCACATTGCTCGCGGTTCTCCGTCTTCTTGAGGTGAACAACCTCATGATTGCGATAAGCTTCGGCATGACGTTGGGAGTCACTATCAGTTTGGTCGGGCTCCTACCCATGTCGGGCAGTTGGCATCTGTGCATCTCAAAGGTTTCGCTTGTCAGCTTCAGCTCGCGACTTTTCGTGTCAGCTCGGCTGCGCAAGGCCAAGCGCGGGCATCACGCAGCCACTCCTGAGGTTATCTCCAAGGAGCTCCGTGGAGTTGCGTGAGATCTTCAGGATTATAGAGGTTGGGTTCATGGATTCGGCATGTGATGTAAGGGCCTGCGGCATCCAGAGGAATCGCTACCACTTGACATGCAGCATTCCGACAGATTTTGCCTGCATCGAGCAGTGTGGAGTTTGGAGTGCTGGTGGCGACAGATCCGTCCCAGGGACCTCTAGGACGCTGGCGCTTGCTGTCAGTATGCCTGCAGGACTTGCAAAATGTTGCCATCTCGTTTCTCATCAGTGCGCCAGTGTTGCACCAGACCCCAATCACCCACCCGCTTAAACACCCATGGCTCAAACAGAACACAAACACACATGCGCGCACACGGGAGGGGGACAGAGAGAGAGACAGCGCGAGAGACATGCACAGAATCCGGCACGTGGACTGCTACCTCCACGAATTCTGCCACTACCTCTGCTTCTACCACTGTTACTACTCCTACTATCTTTATGGTCAGACACCTCAACATCCTCAACTAGTAGCAGCATGATCTCACAGGTACAATCGGACCTTTCCTATACCATGCACTGCTCGAAGTGGCAGTGTGCATTGCGCAGCCTTTCGCAGGCCTTTCTCAAGCGGCACTAGACCCAGAAGCATTTGAGGATGTATGGTCCTTCATAACCACGTTTCAAGCTCGACCTCTGCATGGGGAGGGGCATTGTATTTTCCTCTTGGTGAGTTGGGTTCCAAGGGCCAGCAATAAGGATCAGCTTCGGCTGTCTGTCCCGCCAGGTAGGTGTGATGCAGTTGCAGCGTCCGTTAAAATCGAATCGGATACTGTTCGCTGATATCCTAGCATCTCCAACCCTCGCAAAAGCACAAACAACACTTGGAGACTAAGTGCTGTACACCTAAACACGAAGCCCGTGCAAAACTTAGATGCTGAAGGCCTAGATCCCAAACCGGCCCATAAAAAAAAAAAGACCGGGCTTGTTGTCAAAGCCCAAAAGCTCTGAATGACAACCCCCTAAACAACCGCCCGAAATCCCGCTCCCAAAGTCCCCAAAACCGGGAGCGTCTCCGCCAGGCGGTGAGGACGAGGATGAAAACATGCCCGGCCGCATTCCGACCAAGAAGCTTATGAACATCCTCAAGAAGGAAGGGCTCAGGGCTTACCTAACCCCCCAACAGTAGGTAAAACAAAAATGGCCCAAAGCCCATCAAGGGCTGCTATTCTACATGCTTTTGGGGTCCAGGCCTGTGGTTGTTTAAAAGGGGAAGGGCCGGGATGCAGGTTGGGTTGGAGGTTTGCGGAAGTGTAGGGGCTTGAACAATTAGCAAATCATCCCCCTGGCGTTCCCTAATACACCTATAGAGGTCTCGACTCTTGTTAGCTTAGGGACGAACTCATTGAATCTGAGTTCACACTGCTTAGATCCCGACATACACGCTGTTCTATCCACTACTGAGGACTAGAAAGGCTCTGGGGGCCCTGTTGAACTCGGAACCCTTACACCCAACATCCCAAATTTTGAACCCCAAAACCCCAAAGCCCAAAATCCAAACCCTGAACCTTCCTCCCTAACCCTCCGAAACCCTCACCCCTGAACCAAAACCCAGACCCTACGTCCTACGTCTGAACCTGAAAAGCCCTAAACAGCTTGTTCAAGCCGCACTTGTTTTTATTTTTTTTTCCGGGTTTTGGGTTTAGCAAAAGCTGGTCTTCCAACCTTGGCTATAGTAGCGCATCACTGGTTTTGGGCGCCTGCAGCAACTTTGCGAGCGAAGCCCTGAGGATCAGGTGAGTCGGGGTTTAGAGTTTAGGCTTTAGGGTTAGGATCAGGTGGTACTTGGAGGCCGTTTTATTCCCTGGGCACTAGGACCCAAGGTTTTGGGTCGGACTCCTTGAGTGCAAAGATCGGTCTGAGATTCTTGACACGTGCGGGTCTCTGAAACTTGGCGGTACTTTTCTGAGAGTCCTTAGCATGAGTATCCCCCTATCTGGGCTTTAATTTCGGGCCTTCATTATCTCAGGCTCCCATATACTTTCTCCTTCGCGGTTACCCCACTTTCCATGGCAAAGTTGCTTGTGCGCAATGAAAAAGTAGGCTTGCTAAGCTGCCTATAGGGTTCCTTAATTCAATTACGGTATAGTGTACCCTAAAGCCCTATTAATCAGTAAGTATTACCCTGAGCCATGAGCCCTTTGAAACGTGCCGGGACGCTGAAGCCGGAGACAGGACCTCGCAGACGCTGAGAAGATGACCTGCAACCTTCCGGCTTGGAAGCAGCCGCAGTTCCAAGCTCCTAAGTGAGCCATGTGCCCACGTGGAGACACGCTTCAGAGCTTGGGATTGCGCGGCCTAGGGTTTCTGACGGTAGGTAGTGACAGCTAGTGAGCTCCGATTCCTGCCCTGGGGGTTAGTTACACCATCCACAGGCTAGATATTGCATTTGGTGGAGCTTTGCGATGTAAACCGTGCTGTCGGTCTTGAACTCAACTCAAAGCGCATCTCTAACTGAGGGTGATTGAGTCTTGAGCATGGCGCGGTTGATTGATCGCGAGAGATGTGCAGCTCATTTGAGCCAATGTGGGCCATGTGTAAGTATTGCACTGGTGTTTGGAATGTCTGTGTCGTGGGGATTCGTTCGATTATGACGTCTGGGCCCATCGCGCCGCAAACTAGGGATCAAGCAGTAGCAGTAGCAGTAGTAGTAGCAGCCGCAGCAGCACTAGTAGTAGAAGAGGTAGTAACAGTAGTGACAGCAGTTCCAGTCGGAACAGTAGTCGTCGTCGTCGTCGTCGTAGTCGTAGTCGTAGTCGTCGTCGTCGTCGTCGTAGTAGTAGTAGTAGTAGTAGAAGTAGTAGAAGTAGAAGTGTAGTAGTAGCAGAGGTTTTACGTTACGTGTGCATTGTCCCACCGTTTCCTGTTGCCTCAAAATCCACTTGTCGACTTTACAAACGCGTGGCTTGACAAGCGTAGACGGTAGTGTAAAAGTACCTGCAGCGCAGTAGAGTGTGACGGACATTGTGCAGTGAAAGTTGCCGGCGAGACTACGTTTGACGGTCTTCACGAGTTGGGCACCACAGCAGCTGTCGTGGGGAGTCCACGGTGGGCGCTTGGTTCTGTGTTCTACAACCATGCATGTGAGAAGTCCTCAAATTGGAACCATAACGCTGGCGAAGATTTAGTCGTTCTGGGATCTGATCCCCGTGAGGGTGGCTGTACTCGGCTATGCATGCATAAAGCATCAATGGATGAAAGCATGCCGCCCTCAGTCCTTGCGTCCATCGCTGACTGCACCACAGACTGGCAGCAATGGTTCACATCCATAGCCTGAATCGTCGAAATTGTGTCACAAAAAGCTGGCTACGACTTGTTCCGACGAAGATCGTGTCCGTTCTGACCCTTCGTGAATCCAACGACACCCTGGGTTCCAGTCACTGTTGTTTATGCTGCAACCTCTGGCCAATGATATGCACATTTGTTTTACCTATGTTCCAAGCCGGCATGTCTGCCCCAGCCCCGTGATTCTGCAGGAACCTAGTTGCAGTATGTTTCTACATGCCACCGCAAGTGACCGTGTGCAGGTTCGATGAGAGGCTTACGCATAAGAGATATAGAAGTCTATGTGGCTATACTCATCTTTCTATCATAGTATCTATCTATCCATCTATCTATCTATCTATCTATGTATCTGCCTACGTATCTGTGTATCTCTCTTTCCATATATATATATGTTTTTATTCTGAGAGCTATGTAGATAGAGATAGATAGATAGATATAGATAGATGGGGATCGCTGTTATGGCTCCGCGTAGGGCTCGGGTTTAGCAGCTATACTGACAGTTGTTAGTTCACAGGTCTTCAGAAACAAGTCCTGGACAATCCTAAAACTCTGAGGCCCATGACTATTTGTCAAGATTTTGACAAAAAGACTCGTAGAAAACCCCATCAGCCGTTCACATCCCTTCTTGCAATCCCTTTGACATGTTCAGAAGGCTTAGTGATCTCCCGGAGCCCTAAACCCTGAAACCCCCTAAACAAAACCTGAACCCCTATTCCGCTAAACCCGAAAAACCCTAGGACTTTAACCCTGAATCCTAAACCCTACACCCCTGAAGCCCCTAAACCCCTCAAAACCTCGTCCCTGGGGGAAACCTTTTGAGCCTCCTCCGCCTGTCAGGGCAGTGCATGGCCTGGCACAAGACCTACTTGGGCAAGCCCTGCCCCAAGACTCCAAGTAGACAAACACTACCTTTATTCGGGGGGTCGAAACCCGAAGCCGTGAATAAGCTCCATCGCCGTGTCTACTTCTTTGCTATTTGGCCTCAGAAGCTAGATCAGGGCTTGGGGTTATGTTACAGTTTTAGTTATACAAAGGAACCGTGAGGAATGGTAGTGTTCATGTTTGGGGTTCTTGAGCTTAGCATTTAGGGTTGGAGTGTTACAGGGTTATTTGAGATGTAGGCTTTGTGTTGAAGGCTTCTGCTGTAGTACGCGATGACTTAAACAGCCAGTTCAGCAGTCTTATGCACAGTACATACGGACCTTGAGTATTCGGACGACTGTTATGCATAATACATACACACCGTGATTATTCGGACAGCCTCTGAACCGACATCTCGTGATTTCTTTCGACGGCAGAAGGCACCAATCATTGGAACACTCAGCGACTGCGTGTCTCGGTCAAGGAATGTGAAGGTGACCCGTGTGTTGCACTTCCCTCTTTCCTTTGCCAGGCTTCGAGACATGTCACGGCTTCCTCGAGTTTGAGATTGCGAAATTTGAAAGGTTGACAAGAGATACTGTAGTGGCTGCGAGGCTTGATTGTTGTGTTTGGTTTGTATGTGGCGCGGTGAACTTGGTGCGAAAGGGAAAGTGCAGCAGAATTCACCCAGATGACCCTAAGACGTCGGGTTCCCTCAAAACTCTGAACACTGCGAGCGATTCTCGGCATTGAGCCCCACCCACCCTCGCCGAACCAAAAGACACCGGTAAGCAACATTCTACTTAAACAGAAAACGCATCAACCCCCCCCCCCCCCCCCAAACCCCGACCCCTCCTAAGAAGCCCGAGCCTTCAGATAGAGTTCATCGAGGTTCAATACTTCAACAAACTGTACCCCCTGGCTTACATCTTGTTGCTCTCCGGCCTCGTGTCTGCTGCCGGGTGCTCATCGCACTTCCAGGGCTTTGCGTCTGGCACCTTTACTGTCATACCTTCAACTACCAGAACCTAGTGGGCTATAGGTCCTTACTATACACCCTACTATGGAGTTCATGAGGGATCCTACCAAAAAGATAGGTCCTTATTATACACCCTCATATGGAGTTCATATAGGGGCCCTACAAAAAGGGGAGGTTTTGACAGCTTAAGATACCTAGGCCCTTAAATGTAGTACCTGGTTTCGGATGACCTGTTTTATGGTTACAACCCTAGAGTAGGAAACTAGGGGTTTTTTATGCAACCCCAACAAAGTACTACATTTAAGGGTCCAGGT